CCCGTTCCACGGCCCCCTTCCTCCCCGCCCGCCCCACCCGTGTCACGGCGACCTGCCTCCCTGCACGTCACACCTGTGTCACGGTGACCCGCCTCTCAGCACACGGCCGAGCTTTGTGGGCCTGCCTGCCCAGTGGGCTCTGCTCTGCCGGGTGCAAGGCCCATGGTCAGGGGCGAGGCTGTGTCACCAGGTGGGCCCAGGTGGCAGGGAGACGCCGTTGGTCCTTGTCCCCCACGCCCTCTCATCCAGCTTTCCAGGGAGGAGTAACAGTGGAAAGAGGCCTCTCCCTGGAGTAATCCACAGTGGGAGGACAGGGGATGCTGAGGGCATCAACCCCTCACTCCAGTGGAGGACGCCGAGCAGGAAGACCACACCCCACCCACACCGGGCCACTCCTGCCTCAGCCGTGGGCCCCGCAGCACTCTCTCCACGGCTACTCGCCATGTTGTGGTCCCTGGCACCCAGGGTCTGACTTTTCGCAGCAGTTGCTCCAGGGCTGTGAGCAGAAGACATGGGCTGGGCACAGGGCCATTGAGGAAGAGCCCTGGCCAGGCCACAGCGGCATAAAACCTCCTGAGCCGAGGCTACGTGCTGGAAAAAGCTGCTCCGCTGGAGCCTTTGCGCAAAACACAAACGGAGAAGCAGACACTACAGAGCGGCACGGTGGTCTTGGGGAAAGCGGGTCTACAGGCAGGAGACATCTCGTTGCGAGTTCCGCCAGCGAGGCAGGGGCTTAAATGCAGGGCTACGACTCGGGACACACATGACACCATTCCTGTTCCATTCCCGAGTGCCCTCAACGTCAGAGAAGCACGGTGGGAGGAAAAATCATGGCTTGTTCTTACCACGAAGGATAAATCGAGAAATCTATAATTCAGTTCAAGCAATAAATTAAATGACGTCACTTTTCATAATAGCCTTTTTCCCCCAGAGAAAGTCTAATATTCAATATGACCGATCCCAGCCCTATCGAATGTCACGCCCACAGTCCACCAAGAGCTGCTCTGGAGCAGGAAAGCACCTTCACTCTTGAGCAGGAGGGCCCACATGCACCTCACCCCGACAGCAGCCCAGAGAGTTGGGCACGCACACGCCTGCAACGGGGTCCAGGAGACGCAGGCTCCCTGTGGGGGTGCTGCAGCGGGGGACACTGGGCAGACACGGCAGGGCCTCTTACCAGCGCAGGGCGATTTTGATGGGGGTGGTGAGGCAGGATGTGAACAGGTCAGCCGGCAGGTCAGGGATCATGGGCAGGAGCTGGGTGGCCTCGCAGGCTGCCAGCTGAATGCAGTTTTTCATGGACGGGGGCAGAGGCATCTGGGCCAGTGGGTGGTTTGGGTTAATCGCAGCCACCTAGAGGAGAGAGCATGGGAGACAGTGACTCGGCGCCCCCATGCTGACAGGGAGCTGGAGCACATGCAGAGGAGAGAGGCCAGTGGCCAGCCAGCCCGTTGGGAGAGGTGTCACCCCACCCTCTCCTGGAGAAGGCCAGAGGCCAGGAAACACCTGCAGCACTCCTGGCTGCTCGCCAGCACAGGGCAGTTGGTCTCTGGCAGACCCGCTTCCTCTACGGCCCTCCTCCTTACCTTCTGATGAGATCAAGGCCCACACACTTCTGCCACGGCTCCAGGGCCTTACCGTGCATTCCACACATTCTACCTACAGCCCCTCCTGGCCTCGCCACGGTGCGCTCAGGACACGGAGAGGTGCTTAGGGTGAGGTGAGTGAAGTGCACACCTCCACCATCGCAGAGCGACCGCACAACCCAGGGCACACAGGCGCAGCTCCGCACCAAAGGGTCCGGCGCAGCACACGCGCCCCACGGCAGGGACCCGGGTGACTGTTTTCCCCCACCTCATCTGGTTTATAGCGCTCTTCAAACAAATGTGCATCAGTTCTATAGCAAGGGAGAGTGGTGGTTCTCCAGGCTGCTAACTGAACTCGTGTTCTCCCTTTCCAGCAGGGATAGTGCCTGTGCCTGCTGGTGGTGTCGGTGAGCTCCTGGTACGTCAGGTACCAGACGTGAGGCCGACACACGAAGCCTGGGAAGAAAGGCATGGCGCTAGCTAGAGACACCACACGGACGCACAGGGGCTCACTCCTGATGGAGTCGCATCTACTTGAAAGCGGCGTCCTCGTGTCAAATCCGCAGCACAGTCCAAGATGGGAGGCACAGGTCCATCTGGCGCTGGGCGCCACGGCACTGCCCTGGGCAATCCAGACTCTGCCTGCTGCACCCGAACACAGCATCCCTGACGGAGCACGGGGCCTCAGCGCCTGGGCACAGCGGAGGACTGAGGGTGCGAGTCCCGCCCTCCGTGGCACCCATCGCACACACGTGACGCCCGCGCTGCTCTTCGGTGAGTTTTGTTGTCACTTCCAGAAATAGCGAGGTTTACAAGAATTCACGGCTTCGTGGCCAGTAAAATTTAATAAGCACAATGCATGTGGGGCTCTGTCTCCACCGTGCTCGCCTGCTCCTGAAATCACTGCGAAGAACATGGCGTCGGGACGAGCTTCTCACATCACAGCTCAGGGGCAGAGCAGCGGGCACCTGCAACACCGTGCCCCCGCATGAGATGGGTCGTCAGCCAAGGCAGGGGCACAGAAGGACGGAGTACGGGGCGGTGCAGGGCTTTGGCTCCCAGGGACCTCCACGGGCTCTGACAAGGCTGATCAGCCAGGGAGGGGTGCGGATGGCCCAGGGGTGGCGGCCACACAGACAGCAGAAAGACAGAGCACAGAGGACACACCGCGGGCCGTGGGAAGGACTCTGCCCTCCCTTTGCTTTGATGGCCCTGGACAAGGTTCAGGCCTAACACCCAGTGACCAAAGTGATGCGGCAGAAGCCCCGTCACTCACGCACCTGCGAATGCTCGTGAGCCGGCCCCAGGTGAGAACTGTGGGCCTGCGGAGCCAGCTTCCCCACCCTCCTTGCTCGAGGCTTTGGCATGATGCGGCCCCATCTCCAGTCCACAGAGGAAGTCGGGGCCGAGAGCGCCTGCTCCCAGGGTGGCCCGGTTCATCGCAGGGCTCCATGCAAGGGCCGCGGCGAGCCTGGGGCACCAGGGGACTGGCTGCGATTCCCTCCGGCCTTTAGTTCTTTGCTACTGCGGGACTGCTTGGGCGGCCCCAGGACAGACCTGCTTTCTTCTCACTGAGGCTAGAGCAGACCTCCCTGGAGCAGGCACCCAGTGTTCCCAAGGGCGACGGACGAGCGCACGCCTGGGGGTGGCATGAGCCAGGATGGCCTAATTTCTCATCACCAATGGCTACTAACTTGTCTCATGACGCGGATCAGGCAGCTCTAGTTAGCTGTACCAGGAACCCCCCTATCTTATAGCTTTAGTTGCTGCTTCTGCCAGAGGGCATGTGTGTTTAGCAGAGAGACGGGGAGAGAGGAGAAAGCACCCCACGGGGGATGGTCACGCTGCAATCCTTTCTCCATTCCTCCTTCCCGGATCTCAGACGCACACACGCGCCCAGAATGTTTCTCAGACACCGGCCACGGGGGTGCAGCTGCCTTCGCCAACCCCACGGGGCAGCCCAGCTGTGCGGCTGTTACTCCCTCGCAAGCTCTTTCACACATACAGGTTGAGTAGTCCTTTTCCAAATGCTTGGAACCAAAGCAGCTCAGAAATTTCGGACTCTGAAACACCGGTATATAGAGAGAACCGCGGGCACGGACCCCAGGCGCCACACGCGGTACGCACAGCCAGAAAGAAATCCCGCACTGCACTTGCGTTCTGCAGGTCTCCACTGTGGTCAGGATGGAATTTCCCACGGTGGCATCATGTTGCTGCCTGAAAGGTTTCAGATTCTGGAGCATTCTGGATTTAGGATTTTTAGATTAGGAGTGATCCACCTGAACTATGCCATTTGCTTTTAAAAAAACTTTTGCTATATGGCACGTGCATTCACTGGACATGGCGGAGGGTGGGGGAAAGTGAGGCACAATCCCCTAGGGGATGGCCACACCACAATCTCACCTCCAGTCTCCTCCCAGGATTGCGGGCACACACGCATACATATGGTGTGTCTTTCAAGTTTCTGGGTCTGGGATTCGAACTGCAGATTTGGCTGTATGGGATCCAGCTGGCTTTTTACAACACCCATGAGGCAAAGAAAAGATGTGGCCTGTCCACTACACAGTCAGCAGAGGGTCCTCGGGGCTGACCAGCGCTCCTGAGCTTAGGGCCGTCTTTGCCTCACTGCTCTGCCTGGGCCTTCTGGAATCAGACCAGGCACCAGGACATCAGCTGCGGCCCTGGCCAAGCAGTGCTCCCAGCACCTTCGGGCCCGAGACACACGAAGCCGTACTCGCTCTCAGACGCCACACGGCCGACGGTGGTATGGGCATGCTGGCACTTCACTGAGGGGGAGCTTTGCTGTCACACATCAAAGGGAAGGGACTGGGCCGCAGGGTTAGTGACAGCCCATTCTACTGCAGGGACGTTAAACTCAGATTACCAGTCAACTGCAATATGTAACAAGAAATACGATCTCAACTCTTTATTCCTAGAAGAATGTTTTCATTATGGTAAATCACTTACGACGTGAATTTGCTGGGTGACTTTAACGGCAGACTCTCAGTAGCCTTGCATGCACCTGCACGGCTGTGCCGCCGTCACTTGGAGTGGGTTTTTAAGCAGAGAGAGAGGGAGGGGTGCAATCGCGGGGAAAGTCATTTCCTGGGCTGCAGCTCTCCAGGCGAAAGCAGCGTGAGGAAAGCACCTGCTCTGCACAGGAAATTGGTTTCCAGGTCTGCTGCGACATCCCTGCCAAGCCTGGTGACGGGTCTGCACCTCGTCAGACCTGAGTCACGCGGATGTCCGTGAGGCTGCAGAGGGATCAGGGCTGGCGCAAGTACTCAGAGAGGAGGCTGCGGAGCAGGTGGGGGTCACAGCCCAGGCTGGGACGGCGCGTGAGCCTGTCCGAGCTGCTGGCAGACTGGCACTCATCCCACAGGCATCACGACCACTGGGCGTGGGGTACGAGGTGGCTGGCAGATGACTAAACAGGAAGCCACTTCTAGGTAGGAAGAAAGTCCTTTGGGCAAAACTAGATTCACTATTCACATTTTCTTTCTATAGGTTTGTGCACTTTGATAGCAGAGATTCGGATGCATTTCACTACTTGTAACTCTTCTTTCTGAAGAGATGTTTACTATAGGGCACATGTGCTCAACAGAGAGACAGAGACAATGAGAAATTGGCCCCCATTGTCATGCTGCGGTCCCCTCGCCTTATTCTCCTCTCAGGACTTTGGGCATGCACGCACGTGAGCCTGGTGTGAGTTTCAAGCTGCTGGTCCTGGACACGAACCGTGGTTACCCATGTGGGAGTCCAGCTCCACAAGCACTATACCACCTGCTGGTCTCTCTTTTCTCTTTCTAATTTGCTTCCACGTTAAGTTTACTTTTTTGTTGTTGTTGTTTTGTTTTTGTTTCTTTTAGAGGTTTTTGCTATAGGGCGTGTGCACTCGCCAGACAGACAGAGAGAGACAGAGAGACAGAAAGGGAGGGGGGGATAGACACGCCGCAATCCCCTCTCCTCCATTCTCCTCTCGGGATCTGGGGTACACACGCACACACGCCCAGCCTGAGTTTAAGCCACCAGTCCAGGACTCGAACCACAGTCGACTACATGGGAGTCCAGCGACATAGCCATTATGCTAACAGCTGGTCCTGTTAAGTTTACTTTCTTTCTTTTTTTTATTTTTTTTTTGATTAATTCGTTCTTAAGTGTACTTTCTTTTTTTTTTTTTCATTTCATTTCCTTTTATACATTCAATCACATTATTATTTGGCTTACAAAATGGTTATTTCAACAGGTGAACATTTCTCCCTAGTGCAGTTGATAAAACTACAAAACACCTTCAACAGATAATGCCACATTTCTTTGTGCCATTAATGCCTTGCCTCCCTATTTTTCTTCTAAGTGTCCTTCCTCTGACCCTCCTTCACACACACTACATCTGTACTTCTAAGTGGCACCGAGGACTGGCCTGCAACCACTGACTTGACACGTCAGTGCTCCCATCCCGGCTCCCTGTTGGGCCAAGCTTCTGAAACTGACTGCTTCACAGAGGTGGGACAGCTGTTCACAACAGCCCTCCTTGCCATCAGCTCTGACACGCAGGACTGCCTGGGGAGCCAGGCAGGTCCCCAAGGCCCAGGCAGGTCTCCAGGACCCAGCAAGTTGGAGGGGGCTTCCTCAGGTACCTACAGGCCTAGGTCCTGGGTGCTCTGGAGCAGTGGTCCCGTGACCCTCACGTTGCCAGTGTGGCATTCTGCTGCCCTCAGCGTCACCTCGCTGTCCCCCAGCACTCCCGGTAAGGGACGAACTCCAGCC